TTATTAGGTTTGTCCACAATGTACTAAGATAGAAGAATAGCCTTTTACTTTGTCCTAGATATGCTGAGGGGTATTAGAACAGCCTCCAAGGCATGAACTACCTGTTTTGTTCTAGCCATCTGAAATTTAATTTGTTTGGCATTTAACATACTCATGCCTCCTGTGAGAAACATAAGCATGAAAATGCAAAGTCCCAATTACATAAAAAAGGGTCTCATGGTTTTGGTTACCCACCAACCAGTGTGGCTTTCCCAGCATTCATCCTCACTGTGACCCTGTCAAGACAGTGGGAGAGCGGCTTTGCCAACACTTTTTCTCACTGTGACCCTGTCAAGAGAGTCAGTGGGGGATCGCCTTCACCACACTACCGCTTGAGCTACATCCCCAGCCCCTTATTTGTCATTTTTGACAAACATTCGAATAAGGAGTAACAGTGTCAGGGCTTACTTTTTGTTACTGCCTGTGCTTAGTTTGGAGAGGTAGTGAAGTCTTTATAGTTTCTTTGTGGTAATTATTATTTTTTCTTTTATTGGTACATTATAGTTGTATATAAGAGTTGAGTTCATTTTGAGTTAATCAGACATCTAGTAATCATTTTAAGCTACTTGTTTATTTTGATGTAAAGAGCTAGTGAACTTAATTATGTGATGACAATTTCATTTAAAAGGCTCCTGACAACTATAGAATGTGGCAATCATGGTGGACCTGTGGCCTCTGTGTTGATGGATGATGGCCCTGTGAGCATATGACAGGGGACCTGTGTGATAGTATTAATAAACCTTACTTTCTTTTTTAATATTTATTTTTTAGTTTTTTTTGGTGGACACAACATCTTTGTATATCACATCTTTGATGGTGCTGAGGATCGAACCCGGGCTGCACGCATGCCAGGCGAGCACGCTACCGCTTGAGCCACATACCCAGCTCCTTACTTTCTTTTGATAGTTTTAAGATTGAAAAATAAAGAGTCATGTGAGCTGAAGTGGTGATATGTGCTGTATTTTAAGTGCAAGGAAACCATTGGCAGTTTAAGCAGAGGTGGGGTGGGATCAACTTGTGTTTTAGAAGGATCAGTGGGGTGATGGGTGGAGAGTGGATTGAATGTTGTATTGCCCCAATGTATAAGTTGTTTCTTGTACCTGTGTATGCCCCTCCCTGTAGAAGTGGAACTTTCATGGAGCACTGGTCCTAACTGGATGGTCTGCAGAGAGCAGGCTGGCCATGTATACTGAACACTTGAGCACAGAAGCCTGCAGGGTCAAGCAGGAGGGTAGAGACTGGGGTGATCTGGAGAATTGTGCCCTCCCCTGGCAGAGAGCATCTGCAGTCACTTCACTGGGGGGTTTCCTTGAGGCATTAGATTTCATTGCTGTTTGTTTTCTGATTTTTCAAGAGAAGCTTGAAATTGGATATTTACAAGAAATCTAAATATTGAGTGATGGCAAAATCTAGCACCACGTGAGCCCAACAGAGCAGATTGGTTTCGGCTGTTTGAGTGACACTAATGGACTGTGATGGAAGACATTTGGTATTTTGCTGAGTCAGAATCTGTGATGCCTTACTTCCTTGTGGGGTCCCAGACTCCTGCCCAGTGTCTTCACCTCAGAGGCCCCTTGTTGGCTCTCTTGAAGTAAGAAATGTGCTTTCCCTGTGTTTTGGGAGAGAAAAAAAATGTACAATAAGTAGCCTGGGGTTGTGCTCAAAGATAACCAGTTCTCAAGAGAAATGAGATCCCAAGAAACCTGTAAGCCTGACCAGCTTTTCTCCTTAACCTATTTGCTGATTTGTGATTGGCTCTGGGCCAAAACCTGTTGAGTGTTAGAAATCTACTGGTTTTGTGTATTTCTGCTTAA